CACTCAACGACCGGCGCCTGGCACCGATCACACCGTTGGGATGAACCGGTGACTGGAAGACCAGTCGAAGTGTTCTTCTGCACTGGGAATATGATTGAAAGAGGACAATCCGTGTGCTATCCTTTGAACTGGATTTCTAATTTGGATATCTATATCTATAAGTTAGTCTATATAGTCAATCGTTCTACCAATTAAGTATCGGTGATTCGTGGTATACAGCTTGTTGCTACGTCCATAGCCTTCAGGAGATCTTCCCTGCCCCCCTGCCCGACCTGGGCTTCTTCACCCGAATCCCAAAACCGTTTCTCCACCCATCCCCGTCCCCGTCCACCGTCCAAGCGAGTGCTCTCAGGAACTGGATGATCTTCACCAGTGGATGTCCGTTCACTTTCAGCTCCTGACAAGATCTGGAAGAACGGATTTTTGTCAAGCAGCTACAAAACCCTAGGTCCTAGGTCGCCCCGGAAGCCCGCATTTGAGATCTAGGGTGGAGGTGCAGCGCAGCCTCTGCGGCACAACGAACCACTGCAGTGCTGAACACCAAAGAAAAGGTTCAGAACCTAAACGAACGGGATATGTAGGTCTACAAATAAAACAACGCACTGAAGCCTTTAAAAAAGAACGTCGGTCTGGGCCACACCCGATGGCAAACCACTGAAACCACCATCGGGTGTGGCCGACTATGCTGCGGACACCGCGTTATCGTCTTTTGGTGTCGAAACCGAGCTAATTAGGTGGATTGGTTTCGCTGCTTTATATATCGCCTTATAAGCAGTCATGAGTGAATGGCCGATGAATTCTCCCGCTCCGCCACCGAGAAAAAAATAAAGAGACACGTGACTTCCGCAGTGGAAATGGAGTTGGGTGCCATCCATGGAGGAAGGAGTTGAGTGCCCCTTCTCCACTGACAGTCACACCACACGTCACTCCACTCGGTGGACTTTGCGTGGTTCCATGGAAGTCGGGGTGCCCCGACCGTCACATCCACTCGGTGGACTTCGCACCACCCGAACCTTAGAACTCCGGACACCTGCCGTTCGGGACCTCACACAGGGACTTCTTTCGCTCCTTCAGGGACTTCTTGGCCGTCTCCTTCACCACGTTCCGCAGCTCCACCTGGCACTCCTGACGATGGCCGCCCCTGTCTTGACCACCCGACCGGACGCCACCCGAGACCGAACGGTGGTGGTGGGTCGGACGCGGCAGCTAAGGTGGACCCAATACGTTCGGCCCCACCCACATGGGAGGGTGTATTTTCAATAGGGGGAGCTCCCAACCCAATGGGTTTTTCCTCTAATTTCCCTTCTTCGAGGGTTGAACTGGGAGGTTTGAGGGTCGAACGAGGCTTTTGATACACACCCAAAAGATCCCAATATTATGCCCCACTGGTCCAAAAAGGGGTGGTGCCCCCTTGGGGGAGCCCCTCTGGCAGACACTCCGAACGCGTCCGGAACCCATCACCGGGCGAGTGTCTGTGGTGCCGGTGCTCCCCTCGGTGTTCTCCCCCTCGGTGGTCCAAATGGATCCAAATCAAAACCCAGACACTCCATGTCTGTCATATATGCCTACATTGACCCCTGAAACCACCCCAATGCAAGCATATATGGCATACATGGAATGCAAATGATCAGCTTGAGACGACTGTCTGGAATGGTTGTTACATACATTAACCATGGTCTGGGAGTCCACCTTGTAGCTACGTGGCGCTTCCTGCCCTGGCCTGAACCCATCCCAGGTGGAGGCCTGTCCATCCCAGGTGACCCCGAATGGAAGCAGCTGGTAGAGATCTGGAGAGGACAGGACCGGTGACCGGTCCTGCGGTCCGGTCCGTTCAGTTGGGCCACCATCAATTCAAACCCATCTGAGGCAACCCCAGACACGACCAATGGGACTGCCATATATGCTTACATTGGGATGGTTTTGGGGGGTCAATGTAGGCATATATGGCAGTCCCATGGAGTGTCTGGGAACTGTAGGTCAATGGAACGATACTGGCGAAAACTGCGACAAGAAGGAGGCGAGTGAGATAGGGCGAGTGTCCCAAGAAAACCATGAGCTGCATGTCAACGCTATAGCAGTCATGCCCAGTGTTCATAGAAACACTGGCTTGCTCAAGCAGAAGAGGCATTCTCTATTATACCAGTAGAATCCAGTGTGTGCTCGGAGCTTTTGACATTGGATTGCCTGGATTACAAAGGTGTGAAAAGAAGATCCAATTCCGGGAGTAACAAGAAGCTACGAACAGGGCGAAACTGGCCTTACTACGAACGGGGCTCCCGGCATCGCTACGAACGGAGCATTCTTCAGACACTCGAGGAGTCACATTGGAGGCCGCTGAGGTGGTGGGTTTTTCCTCGTCCCACCGGCCGTCCCGTCCCACGACATGTGGCGGTTCTGGGACACCCTGACGACCTGACGGCGAACGGCCGCGACTCGACGGGTCCGAAAAAAAGCGCGTCTCCTCATAGATAGGCTTCAGCTTTCGCAGAAGCGCCTGGAATTTGTGTGTTTTTCCTTCGTTTCTGCGTGGGGTGAGGGAGGCAGCTGCAGGTTTGTTCGGCGCCCCAACGGCCCCCCAGTTGCTGATCTTTTCTGTCCGGAAGTGTGGAAGGGTCGTGACTGTCTGCTTTTGGAAGATCAACTTCAACCGACCTTTCTGCCTCCAGGGTGCCCCCAATCCCCGGCTTCAATGACCACCCTGGCGATCCACTGAACTCCGAGAACCTTTTTGGGTGGTTGACCGGTGAGTCTTCCTTGGGGATACAGGAAGAGATCTGCAGATGATTCATGATGATTCTCCAGTATCTGTAGATTCTGTAGATTCCCCAAGAATCACTGCCAAGACAGCGAGCCGAGCGAGGTCCAGTTCAACTAAAAAAGCGGACCACCGAAGTGTTCAGTCACCCGGTCGGACCACTCCATGAAAAAAGCTTAAGGGACCACCTGGAGTCGACTGGACTCCAGAAAAATCGAGTATCCACTCGCCCGGTTCCATTGAAGAAGCTCACGACTGGACCCGGTTCCTCGAGCCGACACTGGTTTCCTTCCTCAGTCCCTCTCTGAAAGAACTGCGTTCACCATACAAGCAGCTTTGAGAGATGCATCCCAGAATCTGGGTGGGATGAAAAGTACACAGATATGATATACTTGCCACTTGATGCATACATATCCATACATATCTTTCATCATCCAAACTTGATGCATCCCACTTGCTCCTGAAATTACAGAATATCGAACCTTCAGGAGACTGTTTGCCTTGCAGGACGTCTTCGCACAACAGGGACAAAAACAGGACCAAAAACTGGACAACTCGTGCACATATATTTGCAAGCACCAGTTCCTTTTGCAGGACCATGCACCATGTCCCATTTTCATATGTTCATTATTGTTCGTTGGGTACTTTAGAGGCTCCAAGCTAGGAATCCCTCCTGGCCTCGAGCGCGTCGGCATTCTGGCGGCGTTTCTCGGTCGCGGCGGGGCCGCAAAGGCATTCGCGTAAGCTGCTGAAGGGCACCTGCCAGGAAAGAGTTCGACAAAAACCGATAGGGAAACATATTTGAAGACCCACTCTGGTCTGACTCTGGGTCAATGTTCCTAGTTTAGATCCTGTTTGGTGAAAACATATTTGGGCGTATTCAAAGTTTTGGGGAAGACGCCGATTACAGTTCGACCCACTCTGCAAGAGGAAGTATGCATGGAATTAAATCTTCCAAGTGACACCCACGTTCGCTTCCACCGGCTGGTCACCGTCGGCCGTCATGGTTGGTCGACCGGCCCTGGGTCTTGGCCACTGGCTGATGAAAGCTGACTCCAGCACGCTAATCTGACTGGAAGCAGGGGGTCTTTCCATTATTTCTCGTCCAGTCACAAGGCGGGGTGAACTTGGAGGATAGGGGTGCCCAGCTACTCCACTCACTGGATGGGACTCAAAACCACCCCTTTGTGACTCCTGGCTAATTAGTATGTTCTATGCCCAACAGAAAACAACCGAGCCATACTGAGCCATACTCCTTTTTGTGCGAGGTGCTGCTCGGTCTCGGTCGGCCTGAACTTCCCAAAGAACAGCAAGGGTAAAAATCTGCCGGACCATACGAGTCTATTCTCCATAGCCACCGCAATGGTCTTGATGGATATATGGCGAACTGAAAAGGACTCATTTTCATGAATGTTGGGAAGGAAGAGTTGTCCAAGAGTCTACAACCCCCCTGAAGATCCTTTCCAAACTGGGAAAGAACCAAATGCCTCTATATATATATATATATATTAGGTATTCGATGGTCATAGCATATTCACCTTGACCCAACCAAAATCCTCCAAACCCTCTGACTCTGGGCGAACAATCCGTTTGACCACACCGACTCATATCCTCCGCCTGGTTGATCCGCGGATCCTCCAGGAGCGGTAAGACTGTCTTGGTGTTGATCCGGTTGGACCACCAGGCGTGGACCATGTTCCAAACCTCGGGTGTGACGAACACCAACAACGACGAACACCAAAACAACGAACGAACACATGTTCCAAAACGAACACGTGGAGGGCAAACGGTCTCTTGGAAGACGACGATCTCTTTACGCACCGCTTTTTTGTTTGATTTTTTCCACTTCCATGTTTGATGTGTGTGTCGGAGGGTAAGGGCTTATGCTTTGAATCAGCCGCCTTTAGAACCACAAGGGCGGCTTTTCAAGATGGTCAGGTGTATGGACGCACGCAACGCTTTGACGTGTGTGGACAGAGGAGATGACAAAGCCAGAACCTTCCAGAACCTTGCAGGCCCTGGTGTTTACCAACAGAGGTTGAGGGACCCCTATAGGTCACTTAGCCTCTCTTGGCAGAAATGCTTGGGTTGGCTCGCTGCTTCGTGTCAGCTTCAGTTGGAGCCGTCCGCCTCAGTTGTCGATTGGAGGCTTCCCTCGATTTGCTCTTGCTTCGGCGGCCGCTTTTGGCGCCGCTCTTGGGATCTTCCTCCCTACCGAGCTCGTCCATCCATCCCAGCTACCCGGTCGAAGCGTAAAGCTTCGAAGGGCAGCTGGATCTCGTCGATGGCGCCGTCGGAGATGGCACCGAACTGGACTCGTAGATACCTGAGTTCACACCGTGTTCTCGGAAATAAGAACTCTTTATGACTCACGGTTTGGATCGGTTCTGCTGCGATGTCTGCTGATGCAACAGGTGCCACCATCCACCCTCACAGGTGCCACCCTGAAAAGAATGGACCATGACCCACAGTCATATATAGTCAGGACACATTTAATATATCCCAGTGTTCCAGGGCAATTCAACCACACTTTCCACCTGGTCACGCTTAGTGGGGCAACCAATGCCCAAATGGTTAAGGGATATCCACTAACGGGGTAGGATTCAGCATCCATGATTGCCGAGTTGATGGGTGTAGGTGGCCAACGCTATCTACAGAGCCTTTCAAAGTCTGTTACGTGGGAAATGGACCTGCCAAACCTGGTCCAGGATGTTTTTCTTCCCAATGATGTTCGAAGATGTTTCTTTGGACTGTTGGCGCTAGTTCTCTCACATCCCAGGTGCGCGCGTTTGCATCAGCGTTTGGTCCAAAAAAAAGTCGAACTTCGAGTGGATCCAGCCTCTGACCCCCACGAAAGGCGCTGCCGCTAACCGCTCAAAGCGGTGCAAAGAGTAGACTCTTGATTGAGAACCCCCCCCATATGAAGAGGTTGTTCAATTTTGGGTGGATTACTAATCAAGAGTCTACATGATGCTTTGGTTCATCCGTAGTAGATGGCATCGGAAGTTTATCTCCATCATTCACGTTTTGATCGAACTTCTTTCTGGGGGCCTGGCGTGGACTGGTGCCAAAATACACGTGCATCTCTAAGCACCACGAAATACACATGCCTTTTTTTGGTAGTCTCGATTGGTGATTGACCTCTTCAAGCTTGGCGGGGGTGATTTGTGAGTCAAGAGTCCACAATTAATTATTGCCCAATCACTCCATCTAAGGCCCATATGCCTACATTTGGGGTGGTTAGAAAGGGGTCAATGTAGTCCATACATTACATAATATGGAGTGTCTGGGTTTTCTGAAGCTTCACCCATGCTATCCCGCTATCCGCCGCGCCTTCCTCCGAGTCACAGGAGAATCTCCCCGTCGTCCAGCTCCTTCAGTTCGTCCTCGCTCCACGTCTGAGTCTCCTTCATCCTCTTTCGCGCATGAGAGGTGCAGAAGCCTCTCGCCCAAGCAAAGAGCTCATAAGCCTCCCTGCCAGGGCTAGCCGGCTAAAACTTTGGGGCTGCTGTGCTTGTTTTCACGCAAAGACTCGGGGCGAGTCGCAAGAAAACAAACGCTAGTCATCAGTGAAGCAGGAGAAGCTTACGCGTTTCTTGGTCAAAAGTTAAAGCGTAAAACCCGAAGATCCTGATACTTTTTATGCAAATCACCCCGCAGCAGCCTCCAAATGGAGAATCTTCTCCAGACCAACTATTTCATAGCCCTGGGTTGAAAACTCGAAAATCGGTGTCATCTTTTTGGATTCAGACTTCAGTTCGTCGATTCGCCCCCCAACACTGCTCTCAAGAATTTGGTCTATTCTCTTGAAACTGGGTGGAACAAACACCAGTCATGATTGGTTGCTCCAAGATTTCAAAAATAATCTTTGATCATCTTTGATCTACCTAGCGCTTCCTGTCGGGGTGCCCTGTCTGGAGACCGGTTTACGTAGTGTGGAGATATGCAGCCAGGTGACCCCGAACGGAAGCAGCTGGTACAACCATGTTACTTAGTTGAAAGTCGATCGAACTTGCCAGTGAAAACCTGAGGGATGTGTCGTCAATGCATAAGAATTCATGAATCTAAATAGATATCATCATTACGATCTTCGCTTAGAGGTTGAATTCACCAACCAGCCATAAATGCTTCGTCCTCACCTGATCAAAATGGGTTCTTTTCAAAATTGGGCTGAAATCTTTCGCCTCACATCCTCGTAGATTTGCTCTGGTCTGCGACCCCGCCATTCGCCACACAGGCATCGTCGTAAGGTCTCCCAAGAAACGCCACAAATCCGAGGGCCCTCGCGAAAAAAGAAGGGGGTTGTGAGATGTCTTCATGTCCTCCCACGGCTGGACTGAGTGTTCCAAAGCCTCTCAACTTCGGGCATTGACTTTTTCTGAGCAGGCCTTGTTGGGTCCGATATCACAATAGTGACCACTCTGTTGCCGAAGGGCCAAGGTGTCCCCCATGAAGGGCCACGGTTATAACATGTTGCTGGAGTAGAAGTTCGCCACCCATTCGCCTAACGGTCCATGTTTTTTGGGGTCCTTGTGGTGTTCGGCCCTTCTTTTCACTTTAAAAAGGGAGCTCTGGACATCTCACAACCCCCCCTCTCCTCGAAGAGGGGCTTCAAGGTCTTCAAGGAGATGTTCGCTGACCACCATGTGTGGATCATGTGATAGACCTCACGATCCCATGATCCGACGTCGACGTCGATCCATCCATGATCCTTCCAAAAACGACGGGGAGATAGAGCAGCCATTTGGAACGAACCTCCGGGACATCCCGGGCGAACTTTGGGACGCGATCCACTCGAGACCGGCGTCCGTTTTTGGACATCTAGGAGAATCCAAAGCAGCACCTGAGAGCCTGCGACGTATGCCAATCTGGTGCTTCTTGGGATTCCAGGTCAGACCGCCCTGGCGCTAATGCCTTCGCCTTCACCGCTCTGCGCGCGCAGGTCAGTCAGGCCGTGCGCATCCAGGTTCTATCACCGTCATGACCAAGGTGGAAGAAATCCAGGTGCTGAACGGCTTTCTGAATCATGGCGGACTTCCACCTGATGTCTGAACTCCAGCCATTGTCCACTTTAAGGCTTTCTGAAATCCAGGACCCCTCGGGCTGTAGGGTTCTTGAACTCAAGTGGACCATGGCTGGGCCCTGAGAGGGGGGGCCCAGCCATGATGTTTCTCATGAGTTGACTCCAAGCAACCTCAGTATGCACCTTCAGCCGCAGGCCATTCCGGAAGACCACCACCCAACCCTCCTCCAACGTATGAGGATCTTCGCCCATGACATAGGCCTCGCACGACGTCGCAGGCATCACGCAGGCGTCGCGTCACGCAGGCGGCACGAGACGTGGTGAACCACGCCTCGCCCAAAACCGGTCGTGGGTGGCATCAAAGCGAAAGGAATTGGTGTGCAGGCCGATGTGTGGTGTGTGGAAGAAATCCAACTTTAGAACCTGGAGGTACTAAGAATTGGGTGTATTTAATACTGTAATGGGCATAGGCCCCATAGGCATAGGGGATGGTTTCTTGTGAGGTCTTCCCCCATGTGAAGATGCTGCAGGATGTCTTCCAAGTGAATCCAGTGCTCTTCATACAATTCTCCGTCTCCAGTGTAACCCTTCAGACTTCAGATGATTCAGCACCAAAGACTTCTCTAAAAGGTCAGCACCCTCTCAAACGTCCAACAAAATGAAGCCACCACATACACTCCCTGGAATAATCATAGAAACAAATGATGAAACATGGTCATGCACGGCCATGCCATCCACGTTGGCCCATGAGCACCTTTCAGGGGGGTGGAAGTTCCTTCTCTATCTTCGGTCTCCAGTTTGGTTGGATTTCTGCTCTTTTCTCGCCGAGCAGCTCGGAGGTCCTTGTTGCGTCAAAGTATTCCACAAGACGGGAAGAGATCGACGGACGGAAGAACAGTCGCCCCACAGCTGGTCGAAATCCAAAAAGTTTCGACTTCCAGGTTTTTGCGCTTTCTCGTCCATTCGCCGTGGCCTTTGACCAGATGGGTTTTGTATGTTCATTTGGAAACTCCCTGGCTCTGGCTGGGTAGACTGGTCGATGATTCCGAACAGCATCAGCAATGGACCGGCCACCGGGCCTGAGCCTTCGCCATGACATCGCTGAGGCTCGGGGCCTCTCCGGCTCCATAGCCTGTGCAACTTGTTCGAAGCAAAGGAACTCCAACCGACGAAACCGACTGAGCGCAGTTGGAAGAACCCACTAAAGCTACCAGCTACATCCTCCAGGGTCCGAGTCTAATTGTTGATGGGGAATCTATGGAACGGTCCCTGATCCCTCAATCACCCAGATCTTCATTGGGTTCTGGCTCTATCTATAGCCCTCCTTGATACATCTAAACCCATTCAGTGGGAGAAGTCGACTCCCGCAACTGCGCAGATCGACTCCCGAAAGTGCGCAGGCACCTCGGGGCTTCACATGCTCAAAGCTCAAGCGCTTGGGACGCTCCATCCCCAGCTCCTGGCGCTGCCCATAGCAGCAGTTGCACGGAACTCAGCTCGTTAGCTGACGCGGATTTCGTCGGTGACTCGGAGGGTGATGCCTTGGATGGCTGGCATGCTTGGTGCTGCGTTCTCTTTTTTGTTTTTCGGTTGACCGGTTCTGTGGTTCCGTGGTTTTTTGAGTTTTCTTTGTCAGTTCCGTTGGTGACATTTCGTGTCATGTGGGGAAGTTGAGAGCCTCAAGCACGGGCTTTGGATTGTGGAAGCAAATGTTCCAATGACCACCGGCTTTGTGAAGAAGCATGCCCAACATCGCAAAGCGCTTCCCAGCGTGCCCCTCAGTCCACCGGGGCGGGGTCCGGCACAGCCACAGCTCACGTGGAGAGGACCTGCGGGCTGATCCACCGGGAGAAAACAGGCAGCCTGAGGTGATTCCCCATGCCCCGTGTACATGGTGGGTGCACTACTTAGTATATCCCTTGCGGATCCACGCTAGCCAACCAATTACCCAGCCACCCTCTTTCTCGTTGTTCCCTCTTTTTTCCGAACGACGAGGTCGGCAGGGCAGGGCTCCTGTGCCATGGCATCCGCAGCGTCCTCCCAAAGCCAAGCGCCCTCCTCAACCATCCGAAGAGCTGCGGGATTTGGACATCTACTTACTACTTCAAGTGGAGAAGAAACTGTGAGAGCTAAGGTATCTATTGGAGGAAAGAATGTATGGGTTTTTATCTATCTTGGGACCTTTTCTGAAACATGGAGCTATTTGAAGTGGATTCCTGAGAACCGTTGAGAACCGTTTTAGAACTGTGTCTTCGAAGTCAAATTGTTCATGGCACCAAGTACAGTACGTGTTCTATCCGTTTTGGGGCACTTTTTACTTTTTTCATGAATGAATTCCACCGTGGGTGGTCCGCAAGTCGACAAAACCCGGATGGATGGTCAGAGCAACGACCCGGAGGGGGTCGCAGGCCGATGGGTCGTCGCCTTCATGACTGCCAGCAAGCGGAAGCCTTGATAACCTCAAGTCATGAGAGGTCTTGCATCGTTCGGTCGAGGGATGCAAAATCAGCAACTCTGGGGTTGTCAACTGGTCGCTTGTTTGTGGGAGAATAGGCTTGCTTAAGCGTTGCAAAGTGGTGAAAAATGGGGCCATGGGGATGAGACCAGCTACTCGACAGTCAATTAGCTATAGCTTGACAACTGTGGCTCTGCAACGATCCCGCTTCGTGGACATCTCCTCACCGTCCGTGAAAACGTCCGAAAAAAGCAACGCCTGGCTGTGTGAGTATGGGCATTTTGGGAAGTCTTGATAACCTCAAGTATAGTTGATAACCTACTTAGTACTTGAGGTACTTGAGGTTCTCAGGGAAGTACTGTAGTAGTTGATGACTTCGTCCTTCGATTTGAATGACCCCAGCGACCCGATGTGAGGACATCGACGGTGTCGTTAAAATGGGGGAAGCCAAGCCTTCGGTGGAAAGCACGAAAACAGACACAGGCTATATCTGTGCATAAAGAATAGGGAGGTCCAACAAATCTTGGACAGAACACAAACACCTTGTATGACACAACAACAAAGTCGAATATCCCAAAAAGAACCCAGAAACCACCTGAAGAAATGCTTTAGTGGAAAGTGGAAAGCACATCCGCCCGATTCTGGGAGAAGGGATTCGGCGGGAAGCACTTTGTCTTCCATCTTTGCATTTGGGAATGTCATATGATCCACAACAGCACCCACCGGGGCACCACACCCCACCACGCGTGGCCACACGTGGCCGTCGTTAAAGCCAACACATTCCCAGTCTCCCGGTCTTCGTCTCCACCAGGCGACTGTAGGGCACGCAGACCTGCACCTCGGGCCTCACGACCTCCGAACAGCCATCATCTCGCGGTCAGTCAGTCCGAGCGCACAGGTCGGTCTGGTGGCAGTGTTCGAGGCGCAGACAGAGGCGTTTTGGTTTCGGTGGCTTGTGTGGGGGGAGGAAAGGATGAGAAGGACATAGCAGGACCCGACTCAACTGGTGAGCAGCCACTTGCAGGCATGGAATGCTTTGGGCAGTTTGCCAAAATCCACGAGAGTGATGGAGATGTTGAAGTTTTTCCTTTTGGGGCAGATCCTGGATGTTGCTCTTCCAGATCGCTTCTGCGTCAACTGCAAAACCCTCTTTGTGTCCCCCATCCCAGGTGGCACAAACACCCGACATCTCTTTTTCATGACTTCCATGTCTTCACCCAAGCAACACTCCTGGCAGCCAACAGCATCCCAATGCCGACGACGGTCGCGCCCGCGCTCCCGACGGTCGCGCTCGACTGTCGTCATGCCTCTACGATGAGCGAAGTGACGCCCTCCGGGAGCCGGAGATTGGGATGCTGCTCCTCCAGCATCACGCGGACCTCGCCGCGCACCACGACGTGCGGCCGAAGGGCGTTCGACGCGAAGCTCCCCGGCGCCGGGTGCGTGCGCGAAGGGTGGCTCCGGTGCACTGTGGGTCGCTCTGCGGGGCTGGCGGGGCTGGCGGGGAAGGACTACTGCAGTTCACTAATGTTTACCAACGTACAGCATCCATTCGGGCGTTTCGACCTAGAGCCAAGAGTAGAGGGCAGGGATCCGGCAGATGTTCCTTCGTTTTTTCCCTCGTTTTCGAAGTCAGAGTTGTTGGGTGTCATGTTCTGCTTTTGTTGGAGCCAAAACACCAAACAAGACCACCCAAAGGATCTTCATTTGACCATCATCCCTCAATTCCATCCGATCGCGAGCGGCCGCCGCCCGTTTGGGCCGGTGTGGGCCGCCTGCGCGATGTCGGAGCTATAGCCCACTGACTTGGAGGACAGCAAAGGCAACCTTGGGCGAGAAAAAGGCGCCTCCCTTTGGCAATGAAGGCCATGGAAACTTGAACCAGTTTGGCAGAACAGTTGAAGCTTGAGTCAGGTGGCTGATATTTTACTGGTCAAAAACCGGGCATCACTTGCTTTCAACACCCCACAGCCGAGCAGAATCGACGTCGCCTGGGAGGTCAACCTGCTCCAGGCTTTCACCAAGGCGTGCCTTCACTCGCTTTACGGCCGCACCCGCAGAAGGCGCGGCGCCTGAATCCACATGTTTGATAAACAAATTCATCCACACCATACCAGTTCCACTCTCCATCTCAAAGGCCAAAATAAGAATCACAGGCTTTGGGCCAACGAAAAAGATTAGGCTCACAGTGGAGGTCACACTAGAAACTACAGTCTTCGTAGTTGATCCGGGCTCCCCTCTCCCCTCCACCGTCTGGTCAAGATGTTTTTTTTCACCTCTATCTGTATCCAGCGTTGTCCAAGAATCAAGTGAAGTTTTCACAGACTCAGTTTGGCTCCGTGAATGTCCACCCATCCTTCTACCCCTCCGAAAGAATCTGCCCATAGAATCTGCCCGAGCCGCCCATCGATGACTTCCAGGGTCGCTGGATCCTGACCGAGCCGTGCGGGGTCGCAGGTGATCGCAGGTCGCTTCCGGATCGATCGCGGATCGATCGACCGGTGCTACGTGGCAGACCGGTGATGGTGGGAACGGCAGAGCGTGGAGCTTCACCCCGTGAGAGACAGTGCTTCTTCAGACTTCCCACCATGCAGCATGCGGAGTTTCAAGCAGGTTTCTCGGTGACTCCGGTCTTGAGTTCTTCGTCAGGAGGAGGACTGGAGTTGTGCGTGTCCCCAACTTGGGTTTTTCTTCATTTCACTCCTGCTGAGGGAGATACTCCTGCAGACTCCTACCTGGAGGCCCAAAACCACATGGTTGGTTACACCTGGGAGCGTTCATTTTGGCATGTCTTCCTCCGCTGTCAGGGTGTCCAAAGTCCAAACACCAGCCACGGTAGGGCAACTCCCGTCAGCGTACTGCCTGCAGCCTGCATGCTTCTCCCATGACCCCAACAAAGTTTTCAAGGACCAAATGCATTGCCCCACACGATAGGGGCACCGCGATCGCAGGGTCAGGTCCCTCCAACCAGGAATCTTCAGCCGTTCTTCAGCCGTTCTTCCCATGCCAAGGAGCGCGTGGAGGGTGCAGCAGTCCCAATGAACCATCCACTTTCTCTAAGATCGCCTCCTCACGGAGTTCTTTGGGTCACCCGGTGGAGCCGATCGAAAAGGAACTCTAGTGGTCCCAGGGAAGCCGATCTCAAAGCTGATCCAAGTGACTTAGTGTATTCTTTTGAACCAAAAATTGTGTGAATGTCCAAAATGGCCTTTTCTAGCCATGGGTGTGACAGAGTGGGTAGCATGGTGCTTGACTTCGGGTTGTTCATGTCCTAGATCTTGGTAAGAATAGTAGATGTGTGACCAGTCGCACACCCAAAAAGATTCACTCACACCAGCACCAATCTGCGCTGGTGTAGAAGGCCTGTCGTTAAATTCAACTCGTCAATCCGGAAGCGGCACGGCCTGTCCTAGGCAGTGCTGGATGTGTGTCCTGTAATTCGTTTGTAGATGCTGTGGCCCATTCTCCAACTATCATGGAAGTGGACATCCTGGCCCGTGGAAAGACCATTCTCCTCTACCAAACAGGGGGTTGTCCAATTCCATGTTTGTTGCAGGGAGAGTAGCCCTTTTTCCCACTCTCAGAGATGAAGGTCGATTGCAACTGGCTGCACCTATCGACCAATGTGTCTGGAGAGGGAAGCCCAAAAAGACATGCACCAAACAGGGGTTCCAAGCCAGCTGCCTGGTAGATATCACCTGCTTTGACTCACGAAGAAAACACATACTCATGGGTGCTTCAGCTGGAAGATAGTGTACCTAGGAAAAGAACACTGGCACCATCTTTCGTTTCACCTCTTCCCCATCCGATCCGAGGTACCAGCTGTAGGTCTTCGGTGCTGAAGCTCTGCAGACCTGCGCGTTTTTTTTCGCGCCACAGGCACAGGCGGCACATGAGATTGACGGGTGAGGAGATAATATTGCCGAGCAGAAGGGAAAGGGAAGATAACCACACTATATACCAAGCGCATCCAACTCCTGTCCATTCGACGCCCCTTAAGCTAAAAACCATTGGACACCCAGTAGAAATCTAAGTGTTTGACAAGTGCTTTTGAGGGATCCTCGTATAGAATCACAACTTTTTAAGGGATACTTGTGAATGGACAGGATTTGGGATTTGGGTCGCTGGAGACGTCAGCAGCCGCCTGCGTGTCAATCCATGTCATTGGTCAAAACCCGAGGAAACCAAGGGGTGCTCATTGGTCACCCCTTAAGCCTAAGGAGTGTCCAATGGACATACCTTAAGAAAAAGCGATGTAAGCCCATACCGCGTCATTCCGTGTCGCCCGATCTCGGAGAAATCGTGGTTCTACCTTGTCCTCTTACATCGGGATTTTTTCACGTGGTTCTCTTACATCGGAACTGTTACTTAGGTTCTCTTACATCGGGAATGTGTTACTGAAAGGGGTGCTCATTGGAGGCTCCTTACAGATAGATAGGTGAACATCAAAAATCATTGGATGCCCTTTTGAATCGTCTGGTATATATATATATATACCCCCGGCTCCTGGACCCTGGATAAATCCAGGCTTCCCAACATTGCTGGGCAAAACCTGCCTTTGTACCATTCTCACATTCTGATGTATCACACTCTATGATCAGCACCTTCCAAAGATATCCCACAGTACATGAACCACAAAAGAAACATTCATGCGCGATTCATGCATATAAATTCACTCGCACCGCACATGCACCCACACCCTCCGACACACACACACAAAGCATATTTGTCACTCTCTGAGAAGGTATGGTGAAGAAGCTGAAGCTAGGCTCGAATCACCATCTTAGACTCTGCCCACGCAACAAACGCAGCGGCTCGGTAGCGTTGAAAAGTGCGTTTCATAGCAAAAGAAGAACTCACATTGGTCACATGACGCACCAGGCGGCAAGTCTTGCCAACTAGATCTTCCTCCAATTGGACACCCATCGCGAGTGGATTCAGAATCTCACTTGCAAGGTCAGCTTCCCACAACATAGTCTTGAACACGTGCATTAGCATGTGTCCCTTCGGATTCAGCAGGAACAACATCCGATTCTCCTCACGGCTTTGCTTAGCTAGTTCCATGAACAGCTCCAAATACTTGAAGCCAAGGTTGGCAATCACATAAGCTTCACCCCTTGGCACCCACAATGGTGCCAAATAAAGCTTGGAGAAGCAATCGTTTATCGCCGCAGCAGCGTCAGCCTTACAGGCCACATGGAAAAACTTTATGGGATCACAGAAGAAGCCTACTCCACCCCTCGACCCCCTACGCAAAAAGGAATCATGCCAGGCAGCCAGCTTCATATGCAAAGATCCTTCTGCAAAAGTATTTCTCTTTGATCTGAAAAAGTACGCAACCCACTTCACTAGGCTGGTAGTGAGGTTTCCTTTCGTCCAGCTGCCAGTCGGGTAATCGTTCTTGTTCAAACTAAAAAGTTCTTTGGTAAAACGCAGTGCATACACCTGGTTGGAATTCCTCTTGCAATATTGCTTGTAGTCCAGGTAAAGCAGGTTCAATTGCTGGTCAACCGAATCACCATCAACGAAGTCAAGCATGAGCTGGACAGCGTTGGCCACTAAGTTGCGACCCTCGCCCAGGTGAAAGCTGTGCCAGGGGTCAATGGCGAAGAACGTTTCCGGGAAGGACTCGTCGTGAGGGCACCTGAGGATCTCAGGGCGTAGTTGCCAAGGCTCTTCCTCTTGCACTGAAAACTGCCAGACACCATTTTTACTGTAATCCTCGAATGGGATGCGGGGCCTCCCCGCAAGGCATAAATGACATATTCCTGTGCAGTCCTTCTTGCTGGATGCCTGCTTAGGCATGTTCCGGAAGCTCCTTGTCAGTCTTCCGATCTTACAAAGATAGGGCCAGTCCCCCTTTGTGTAGAGGCTCACACACCAATACTGCAAACCGTCAGGGCCTTTCAAGCCATCCTCCGCCAAAGAGCAAATGTCCTTTGAAATTATTTCCACAAGTCGGTAGAACGAATCTGGGTGCAGGTCATATACCGCCTTTGGAAGCATTGCAAGCAGTAGCCTGGACGCATATGTGTTCCCAGTGTAGTTCATCTGTTGTTCTTTGCCACGGTGAAGCAATTTGCGTTTCCGATTTCTGGTCTCCACGCCATACCCTAGGATGGGGTGGGCATTCATGCACAGGACAGCATTTCGCTTCCTGCCACGCCCCTCGTCCCCGTGCAGTAACAAAGGCAGAACGCGGCTCAGCACCAGGCCCTTTTCCCGTTCAAGGGCAAACACTGTGTGGTTGGGTCTAAGAACCCTGAAGCGCTCCCAGAATAAACTCAGCTGGTCACATGCTGTTTCTCTCCTGGTTGCCCCGCAGAAATGGTGCCAAGCTCCGAACTTCCTTGCTTGCTACAGCAGAATCTATATTTGCAAATGGCCCCAACACGCCAAACACAAACACATGAATGACATGAACAGACTTTGGCGACTTTGCAAGACAGAACAATTTTTCTAGCAAGGGCCAGTTTCAGAATCAGATCCATCCAGCTGCTGAGAAGAAACACAGGGTACTTCTCATTGCCATCATGAAGCTCAACCATGGTCATGGGAAGTTCCAAGGCAAGACCATATTGGTCAATGAGCTTGTGGCAGCTCTCTTCTGCATGCCCTTCTGACTTTTCTGCCAAAGCGGCCGTGCTTGAAGCAATGTGTTGGCCTGCCTCCTTGGCAGCGGCTTTGGCACTGCGGACGGCAGCAGCGCAAGAGGCCTTGGCATCAACTTGCAACGGCAAATCTTGGCCAAGAGCCTCAAAAACAAATCCCTGAGTGCTCCATCACATCAAGGCTTCAACTACACATGCACCTGGTGACTTGCAGTGCGTTTTCATCTTCGGACGCGATGTCACAGCTGCAGCATCTCAGACCATTGTCAAGGCCACAGCTAGGCTATGCCGAGCACAGTAAATCTATCAATCTCGGATCGTCTGACGCCGTTTCATCGGGAAGGAACATGGGAGTATCACAGGGCCTTCAAACATGAAGTACATCACACAGAGTATCACAGGGCATCAGGTGGACCCGCCCTCAGGATCAAAACGGCCGGTCGATGGCCTGGTCAGTCCAGGGAGGCAACTACCAAATCAAATTCGTCAGGGAAAAGAAGGAATGCAAAGGAAGGAATCACTTTTGGCAGCGTGCCTTCCTCTTCAAGCAGACCATGCAAGAGCGGATCGTATGGAGCAGGTCCGAACACACGCGGAGCAGCTTCGATTGCGAGGTTGTTGAACGGCGCCTAGCCAGCGACAGCGAGACTTAGACATGAAACGTACACACACACATGCTTGCACACACACACACACACGCACACAAACACCTTTATCGGTGCATGACATCACTATCGTTTATTCATGCACACCCTTCGAATCACTTGGGCATGCGAGGCACAAAGCGACGGAGTCTCTGTCCCGGGCGCTCTCGAGCAGGTGAATCAGCACGAGCAGGTGGTTCAACCACGCAAATCGCATCAGCCCTCAACATTCCTGCCAAAACAAGTCCACAATAGTCGACACAGAACCCACCAACTGTTGACTATGGTTGGCTTGTCTTTCAAAGCGTTTTGAGAACATAGCACCATAGCATTTGTTCGATGCAATGGCCTTCTAGAATCTTGTCTGTCTGGGTCTTAGCTCCATGATTGGACGGAGGGTCGAGAGATGCGGCGGGCCTTTTCATGTCGGCTTTTGTAAGCAGATTAAGAACAGGCAACCTTTTGTTCGAGCCTCTTTGCTCACACCAATGCATACATTCTCGCAATGTCCCGCAATGACATGCAGTGGGCACTTGACCTTGATTTATGGGGTTGGTTGAGCTCCAAATGTTTTTGGCCAAGGCGGTGCCAAGACTCTCTTTTGTGGATGAGACTTGGGAGGCGCACAGGGTGCGATTCACGCCATCCACATGCGCTATCTCTAACCACACTGGACAGTGCCAGAAAACTTCATCACCTTGTGTCCAATTAACACAAGTGTTCGAATTCATACCCCGGAGGTTAATTACATCTTTTTGATTGGGGGTGGGTTCTTCAAGCACCTGTACACCATGTACGTAAAGAAAGGCCCATCATCAGAGGCATAGTCCGGATGGTCAGTCGAATCTCCACCCATGCGGATGTTCCGGCAACCAGGTCTTCCTTATCCATGCAGACAACAGGGGCGAACACCATCTACCTAAAGTCAACCTGAATGACAACAAACAGGAACACTTACTAGCCAAATTTAAGCTGACTTCCACTGTGCAGATTGATGAGGAAGGCTTCCATGAGCGCAGCACCAGTGGTGGTTGAAGACATGTACAGCCCAATCATTTTGTGGTATTTGTCGAGGCTATGATGGTACCCGTACAAATTGTTGTGCCATCTCCAACTCAAGCAGTGAGTAAACCCAAATTTGAAAGTACATGGGTATTCTTTCCTCAACAAGCAGCTAACCTTATTGAGGCAGTGTCTCAAAGCGGAACCTGCAGTTGCATCCGGTTTGGGAAAGCAGGTGTCAATGAACAGATCCCCTTCAAGCTTTCCCAAGCATTCCTCTAACCGCGGCACAGAGCGGACAGATTCTGGGACAAGTTCTCCAAACCTCAAGTTCGGAGTCGGTGTTGGCCTGGATGAGACTGCGCACGGTGGCAGGCCACACGATGGACATGATGGAGCAAAGCAGCGCTGATCAGGAGCGGCCTTCCGACACAGGGGGCTGTGGGCTGGAGGATGATGGGTTGACAAGCTTCATGTTTGTTTTACTGCACGTGACTCTGCACGTGCCAAGCCTCATTTGCAGATTTGTGGCATGAAAGAAGTTCTTCTAGCCACTCTTCGTCAGAGTCGGGATGGGACATGAGGGCAACTCGGCAGTTGTGGACTCTCTTTATAAATGCCTTTGAAAGGATCTGCAAGTGTAGTGTGTGATACTGGGTTGTTCTAGCTTTCACAAACAACAAGCGCATGCCACGTAATTGTTTTTTATAATCTCGAGCTCAATGTATGGGCTCTTGAGGTAGAAACACCAATAGCACTGCGCACAAGAATGCTTGCAACTTGCAAGGTTTTTTCAAGCATACGTCTACACACCCAAAGGTTGCTTTCGAAATGGAACCCAATGTCATGTTGCTGACAGAAGTCTCTTGGTTTCGGAAAACCTTCGTTTTGCAGATCTCTCAGGCGTTAGCCCCGGTCCCCACTTCAGAGGCAAGCTCACGTAGGATAGGGCCAGCACCTGGCAAGATTACCCGCAAGTGTCTTTGAAAAAGCTGATTGCCAAGTGCCCGGAGCCAACCCGTGGAAGAACAACTAGAGTTTACTTTTTCACCTGCCTTTGGTCCCGCACAAGCAGAAGCGCACAAAGGAGTGCACTAGGTAATGAACATCTTGTAGTACGAACTAGGCCTTCTGGCCATCATAGTTTTGGAACTAAGCCCTATATGCACTGTCAGCCCATCCAACAGGCATCGCAAGCACTAACTCAAAACCAAACCTAGCTCACAACACACCTTTCAGTGTGATCCCCAAATTGAAAAGAGGTTCAGCTCAGCTTTTTGGTAGCAGCTGCTTTCCTCTTGGCAGCTGCTTTGGCAGCTGCTTTGGCAGCTGCCGATGAAGCGGCAGACGCAGCCTGGTACGGCAGGCCATGAAAAGGAATGAAAAAACTATGGCTTAAGATGCGCATTCCTTCCTAACCCAAATCCAACCTTGCCACCGGCTTCTTTACTACCCTTCAGCGCAACCTTCTTCTTGGTCCACGAAACCTTGGCGTTCCTCAGCGGGTCAATCAGGGAAGTTTGTTTTCACGGTTTCATGGCTAAACCAAACATGAAGGCTGGGTGAGCTGGCTTGATCTTGGCCTCGTGGCCCAGAGCTTGAGTGCACCTAGGTCATTGATGGAATGACAGGTCCAGGTGTTAGACCAACAGTGCCTGTCAAGGCGCTTGTAGGTAGAATCCGCAATTTGGCTATCAATTTCCGCGGTGAACCTCAAAGGATGCGCAAGTTAATGGAGCACACAGTGAGAACTTGTCACGCTTCAAGTGCTAGCAAGCAGCTTAGCAACGCCTTTCAATTCGCATTTTGTCTTGAGCTCAATGAGCTTATCATACTCTCCGTCCATGTTCTTTGCTGCAGCTTCCAACTGGGCCACAGCCCTCAGCAACAACACTGCAAAGAACCATCTAGGTTCCGGGTTAGGTTGCTAAGGACAGTGCTAAGGACACGGAAGCAGCAAAACAATTTTTAGCAAAGTGACGGTGCAACGCGGGAGTCATCGTAGTTCTTCCGGAGGTCGCCAACCAGCGCATGGAGTTTTGCCGTTTTGCTCAGGACTGAAGCAATGAATTGGTTCAACTCACGTTCCTGCCCCAAAAAAGAATGGCCACTGCAGCACAAAACATTGACATATTTTGATGCCAGCCTTCTCTTCGTGCTTGTTCACCATGTCCTCATTATCTTCCACCTCACCAGTGAAGTGCAACGCTATGTCTTCAGGCCGGGAAGGACCAGCCATGAAATCTCCATCCTAAGCTTTCAAGCGCTAAAGGAAACATGAGGCAAAGAAAATCAAGAAAAGCAGAGGAATCCCAATGACAGTATTGAGCTTAGCTTCATCATCCTTCTCCACGGTTTTTGTATCTGTACGTGTTTCTGTTTCTGTCTCCGCGTAGCCTTCAGTTCCAGTGACACGGATCTCGACCCAGTACTCCATCTTGCCATCGTAAATGTTCTTCCTGCACAGCACATGAGTCCATGTCAGCACAAAGCTAGTGAAGAAAACAATCCCTGGCAAGAAGTAGAGTCCAGCCTGCTGAAGCCGGCAATCTTTTTACATCTTCGCACAGCGCCACGGATGCGTTCCCTGGGCACAACAACACAGTGAATGATATTTTTTGAGAACATGCGCGTTCGTTTTAACTCTTAGGCCCTTACTCATCCCACTTGAGAACGTCTTTCATCTCTTGCTCGGTATACCAGCCACGTTCCTTTTTGATGGTCTTTTGCATGGATCGCTCCCTTTGCACAGTCATGTGCGAGATGAACACGTCCTGGCCACAGCTACACACACACACCAATCAATGCATAATGTATAAGTGTTGACCGTACGTGTTTGCAAACAGCAAAGGTTCCTTCTTCCAATTTGCTTGCTCTAGGCGTTCAACTAATTGACCCCGCTGAGAGATATCACACCACATCTCATGCATCCACTGGGGGCATTGTAGTTTCCCCGACGGCTTCTTCTCACAAATCCTCCTGAGACGTGCATTTTTTGCAGCATCCTTAGATGGACCATTTGATCACTCAACACAAACCTGCATGATACCAACACCTAAAATGTATGGCATGTTAATTCACAATATTGTAGAAGAAGAATCGGTTTCTGGCGGCGGCTTTTCCGGCGGCGTAGTACCGGCTGGCTTCTGGCCAGCTGATGCATCCCCTCCCCCAAGATCAGATGGTGGTGGTTTCTTGGGGGCTGAGTCTTCCCCTCCAAACCGCAACTTTTTGGGTGGAGGCGTGTACCCTGTCGTCGCATGAGCAGCAGGCTCCCGGTTTGGTGGAGGCGTTGCAGATACCTCCAAGCTCAAATCAACTAATCAGGAAAAGGCTAGCCACTAGCAATCCAAAAACAAATAAAGTAGCTGAAACGCCTCTCCCTCTCCCATGTGTTCAGCAATGGATGTGAACTTGTTTGCCCAATCTGTGGCTGACATCTCCATATCATGGGCATTGTTTCCATAAGCCGCAAGCTCCTCCTCAGTAGCCTTGGCGGGGCTAACCAGCGGACACTAAGCAAGAACATGTTCCCATACCCATGCTTGTATATAGAAGAGCAGACAAAGAACTGGTATCGTTTCGGCCATAGACATGCAATTGTCAGCCAACATGTAGGGGTCGAAAAACGCCTGCTCCTCTCACAGTTGATGAAGCAAATGCTCAAAAAAGAACTGAGCATGCATTTTCACTTCAATTGGATTCACTTGTATTATATTATATGATACAAATCCAACTTCAAAAAGATCAACTGTCCTCAGCCGGAGGCTCCACAACCTCTGCAGATTTCTCCAGCTCCAACTCCTAGAAAATTTTGAAAAACACAAGAACACGCACTGGACACATCCGATAGCATACGAAACAAAATTGAACAACAGCTCCTCCAGTTTCTTGATAAGACACTCGTCATCCATCTCCTCTTTGATGTCCATTTTGACTGCCATCGTGCCATCCAGGAAAGTGGACGCACTCCACTGCCTGGATTTCATTGGCTGAGGCTCCGGGTCCGCCATGTTAAGCCAAACAGGGTGTTGGACTTGTATCACACCTGAACAAAATGGCTTCACAGATTGAATTTCTATAGTCCATGCGTGTGGTAAGTTCAGTCTAGCTGTGTTTTGGTGATCCAGTCCTGCGTTTGTATATATTTGTTTGGCGTGTCCTTTCTGGAAACCCTCACGCGTCGTTCTGGGTGCTCGTGTGAAGACACACAAGCCACATCAAAGAT